GACTTTGGACTATTATAACTTTTTTTCTACAGCACCTACAGTAAAAACAAGCATACTTTTCTTATATAATTTGGATATGCGCTATCGATTGAGCCTAATATCAACACAATCGGCCCAGCCGTTATTGAGATCCGATAATCTCGGCTCGTCCCAACTTTCTCACTCGCGTAAAGAGACACGGTCGGCCTCGCGCCTGTGTTGCGCGCTGCGCGTGAACTTGCCGCGAGACACTACCGTGTCTCTTGATTGTATGATAATACGGAACAAAATAGGTCATTGTACGATAGTGAATAATTATGTATACAATTATGTATGCGGGAAGTCCCGAAAATTTGCAAGTGTATTCTACTTATCTAAATATAGCCACTTTTATTTCTAACATGAATTATACGCAAAACTACGTGAAATTTACATAGCAAACAGATTAAGTTTTGCAAAATATCTTTCCATGTGTATAAGCAGCAATACCGAATTAATGTCAGGTTGAAAGGACACCTCATATAATTTTAATTGTACAAGATTCCATCTTACTTTCTAAGCATGATTCTCACCAGACAGATAGATGCTGTTGGGGTCCAGCTCGTTCTGAAAGATCGCGCCTTTGTACCAGGGCTCGTTCACCGCGCGCCTGTGAAGATCGCCGAAGACGATGCCGTCGTCCGAGTCCGGCAGCACGGCGGTGTGAAGATGATGCCATCGAGTGAGGCCGCTCTGCGTCGCGACGAACCTGATGAAGACACCGTAGCGACGCGCCAGATCGCGGGCGTGGGCTGGCAAACCCTCCACGTAATCACCGCGGAAGCTGTTGTTCGTCGCCTTGGCGTCGAACACCAGCAGCTGCATGAGCTCCCGGTTGCAATAGTAATCGTCGCGCTTGAGCGTCTGCCGTCCGCAGTTGGGCGCCTGATCGTCGTCCGCAATCGGATACGCTTCGTACTGCTCGGACCATCGCCAGTCAGGTCGACTCATCAACGCTAAAAAGTGGCGCAGTTCGTTCTCCGGACTGTTGAACTGATGACCTTCCAGATAATGATAGCGGCAATACACCCAGCTTGGATGCACGCGCCAGTGATCGCCCACGAAGTAGTCTGACACGTTTACGTTCATGTTCTGATTCCGGCGGATTTCATCACCGACCTTGAAGAGCAGCATGTAATTTGATTTAATGTCTGAATAATAATAAAACTTTAGTTTGTTTTGATGTGTTTCAATTCATGTTTAAAGCAGGATCGAGTTATGCTAATTAATGTTGAATTGTTTTAATGAAACTGGTTGATGCATGCAATTGCTTGAATGTTCATATATGTGTTCAATTAATTCTGAATTAATTTAAATTGTTTAAAGCGGGTGGATTGAATGAGGTTAATTAATGTTGAATTATTTTAATGAAATTGTTTGTTAGGTTGCAATTATTTAAATATTTATATACATGTTTGTGTGTGGTTACCTAAGCACACAACACTGATAATCTCTGCGTTTCTACTCAACCTTGATCCAAGTGGTTCCATAATTGGGTATGGCGATTGCGAGACC